CCTCTTACTACTGCTGATGATCCAGAAGATTTAAGGGGAGGAAAAATTGATGGAGTTTTGAGCTCCTGGCTGACCTGAGGGGGCTTTATTATGCTGTCAAGACGATACAGTGACTATGTGATTGAGGGTCTTGACTACTTGAGATATGTGGAGTTTGTTGTAAGTAAAAATGAATTGGATCAGTTTAAAACAGATTTATATTTTTCTTCACCAGCACAGGACACTAAAGTAGCAGCAACTTACAGTTTGCAAACTAAATAAACAGATATAAGGTTTTCAAGAACTAATAATAATGCTTTTTTTCATTGTAGGTCCATAATACCTATATGTTGTATTGTCTCAGCTGTAGTTCAGTCACTGGGCTGCAGCTCGGTTCAATGGCTACTCTTGTAATACTACAATAATCTACCCCCAAGATGTAAACAAGCACAGAGGACAGATGACATCTTATAGATCAGCACACTTTGGTGGTATTTTGATCTTACAAACATATGTTAAGTTGGATTTATTGTAGATGGTGTCTGGTTAAACCACAGCCTATATAGTAAATGGACGTAGTGTTGGTGGCATCACCCATCAGCCTGTCAGTCGCCAATCTGGTATCGCTGATCTAACTTTTGGCCTTCCAGACTGAAACTTGACTTGACCTTCCAGTGGCAGGCCTTAAGCATCCCCACAAACAGCTTCAGTGTGCTCACCAGTCAGTCAGTCAGTCAGTCAGTCAGTCAGTCAGTCAGGTTTGTCGTGTCCATAATTTGCCAGTTTCATAACTTAAAGATCTCAGAAACTAATGTTTTTAAAAAATTCACTTCCTTTTTGGTGGATGCTGTGGGAGCCTTGAGCCGTTCAGACCCAAAATGTTTTTGAATCAGGCTCGTTTTTGCTCTAAAAATTGCATTTTTTGGCTTAACATATATGTGTTTTTTTGTGTGTCTGCAGCCAGCCTCAAGCAAGCATTCAGGACACTGCGGTTTTTAACACTTCTGCACTAACTTCATCTCTCAAGACTAGAGTTTGCTGCTTGGGTTTAACTGACATATAACACTTGCCCAGAGCGGTAATTAACAAGCTTATTTTTGTGGGTTAATTTTCAAGGAGGGCCAAAGCCTGGTGGTGCTAGCTCTGCTGAAGGTAGGCACACTTTGCAGACCAATTTGACATTTCAGCTGCAGACTCTGAGCAATTTTCACTTGAGAGTAGGGATAGGCAATAAATTATCATTCACGACCTATTGTCAGTAAATTCCTCCACAATAAATATTTGCCATCTCACAATAAATTCGATAAATGCAAGTTGATGACGTAAGTGCAAGCAACGGACTTGCAGCCGTAGCCCACACAGATCTGAATATCAAACAAACATGGCCTAAGGTTATGAAGAAGACATCTCTGAGCAGCTTGTTGCTAAACAAGGCTCCACATGAGGTATTTCCTCCAAAGTTGGGGCTTAGATGAGTGCAGTAAGGTATGCCTGACATTGGACAGAGGATCTGCTAACTCATTTTGTGCAATAAGAGTTTTTAATAAATGTTGAAAGTGTTTTCACATTTCACTAGTTTCATCCATAACCTTGTGGTAAAGTATCTTATTTGACTATACCAACCAGTGACCTCAAGACAGAATGAGTCAAAAACATTGGATTGGAGTTATAATATTTTTTATTGGGACTTTTATCGTTATCGCCAGAATGGCAAAACTTATGATAAAATTTTCAGCCCATATCGCCCATCCTTACTTGAGAGCATATGTAGTTTGGGATACTTTCAGAATTATTTGTCAAAATATTGGAATCTATCCTGCAGGTACTCTGTCCCATTTGATTTGTATAAACTGTTTCTCATGTTTTCTGGCCTGCAAGTCATCCTGAAACTGTCTTTGGTTGATGTAAAGATTTGAGATGGTGGGTCTTTTGTATATTCAAAGGCATCAAGAGACCCTGGTCCTCCCAGCTGCATGAGTATAGTTGCTTGTTTCAGTCACATTGCATTTATTATACTTGAGGTATTCTCACAGTTATTTCTTGTTTTTCAATCATGCCAACAGCCTTGTCTATACCCACCCAGACAAGCTAGAGAGGTTCTGAAAACATCCTCATATTTTACCATCTGCTTCTTGCGCCTCTTGCATGCATTGACACTGATTGAGTATTTGGAGAGTGAGAGCTGTCATATGCATTCCATCAGGCTTACTTTAAATACCCACTAAATCATAAACATGTATGCATTGTCACGCATACAGATGAAAAATACGCAAACACAAACCGCTGCCAGATTGAACAGCAGGAGTGCACATGCTAAGAAGAGAAGAAAAGGAAAGATCTCACAGGATGTCACTGCAAAACATCACCTGGTTTGTGTTAGTGGTGAGTTCACAACAAGTTTGTCATGATTTTAGAGAGGGAAAAAAAACCAAAACATCGGGCTACATGAGGAGAATGCCACTGACACAGTCGAGCAGCTGCCTTCAAAAAATTTCAATTTGGCTTTTTTATTTATTATAATAGGTAACAATTGGGGAAAAAAACACTGCCAGTCTATAACACAACCCAAATAGTTGATTCTAACATCAGCACTTCCTTCAATAAGGCAGATTCAAATGATGCGCTTGAACCAAGAGGTTGCTGCAAGTCTGGTCTCTCTGTATTATCTCTAATTTTTGTAATTTATGCTAGATTTTTTTCATATTTTTGTTGTAATTTTGTTGGCTGCTGATAGATACATTTGCTGGGCGAAGGGTTTACTCAAGAGAAGAGCGCCTTTCATTGAAGAAAAGCAAATCTGGACAACAACATACAATTCCAGAGGACATCAGGAGGTGTCATCGTGGTTGCCGTGCTGGTGCAAAGTAGATGGCAAAGCTGAATGCTAGGAGGTGGCGATATAAACCCTTTCTTCCAACAATCATCATGGGAAACATCAATTCTCTGCCCAACAAAAGCGATGAGCTGGAGATCTTGGTGACGACTGAGAAAGCATACCGTGAGTGCAGTTTCCTGTGTTTTACTGAAACTTGGTTGAATCAAAACAACTTGGACCCCAGTGTGGATCTACCTGGCTTCACTCTCATAAGGTCAGACAGAGCTGCTCAAGCTAGTGGCAAGAAGAAAGGAGGAGGTCTGGCTTTCTTTGTCAACCAGAGATGGTGTAACCCTTCACACACAACTGTCAAGGAGAAGTTGTGTTGTCCATATATTGAACTGTTGGCAGTTGCTATTCAGCCATATTTCCAAGAGAATTCAGTCATATCGTAACAGTAGTTGTTTACATTCCACCTAAATCAACTGAAGAATGTTGCAATGTTTTGAAAAATAGTGTTGCCAGGCTACAGACTCAACACCTGGAGGCACTAATAATAATATCAGGAGACTTCAACCATGTCACCGTCTCCTCTCACCTGACTGGATTCACAGTCTGTGAACTGTCCTACCAAAGAAAACAAGACCCTGGATCTGATGTATGCCAATGCCAAAGAAGCCTACAGAGCCACTGCCTTACCACCACTGAGCAAGTCAGATCATAACTTGGTCTAACTCCAAACCTGTTACAGACCTTGTGTACTAAGGCAGCCTGTGACAAAAGTCAAAATCAGAGCTTCACTGGCTTGAGGAGTCTATCTTCTAAGGGACTGTTTTATATCAACACACTGGAATGTGCTGCTGGAAACAGATGTGTATAGAATGAACATTGACAGACAGGTTGACTGCTTTACTGAATATGTCAACTTCTGTAGAGACACAGTTATACCCACAAAGACTGTTCGCTGTTTCTCCAACAACAAACCCTGGATCACAAGAGACATAAAAGCAATCCTTAACCAGAAAAAGAAAGCTTATAAAGATGGTAACAAAGAACGACTCAAACAAGTGCAACAAGAGTTGAAGAGGAGACTGAAGATGGCAAAGCTGGAGTACAAAAACAAGGTAGAGAGAAATCTGCAACACAGCAACATCCGTGAAGTGTGGAGAGGAATCAGTACCATCTCTGGATACAGCAATAAAAAGAAAAGACAGCCAGTGGTGGGTGATCTGGAAAGAGCTGATGAACTCAACCTGTTCTTCAACAGATTTGACACTGCTGTCACACCCACTTCCACTGCTACTCCACCTTCCTCTCCGCAACAAATCTCCACTACAACTTCTCCCCTTCCTCCTCCATCTTGTTCAAATGTCTCAACCACGTCAACTGCCTCCCTCCTAGAACACCAGTCCTTGTCTGTCACTGAAACAGGGGTGAGGATGGAGCTTGGAAGACTTTGTCCTGGGAAGGCAGCTGGTCCAGATGGTGTGTGTCCAAGGCTGCTTAGAGACTGTGCTGCAGAACTGTGTCAACCTCTCCACAAGATCTTCAACCTGAGTCTACAGCTGGGGCGGGTACCTGCTCTGTGGAAAACATCCTGCATTGCGCCAGTACCAAAAACAAAATGTCCTGCTGAACTCAGTGACTACAGACCAGTGGCCCTCACTTCACACATCATGAAAACCCTGGAGTGGCTGATTCTACGCCTTCTGAGGTCTGAGGTCAAAGACAAACTGGATTCCCTGCAGTCTGCATACAAAGAACACATTGGAATGGATAATGCTGTCCTCTACATGCTTCACCGTGCCCTGTCTCATCTGGAGGAACCCGAGGTGTATGTGAGGATCATGTTCTTCGACTTTTCAAGTGCATTCAATACCATCCAACCCACCATACTCAAAGACAAGCTCACAGAGATGGGAGTGGATCCTTCCTGTGTTTCCTGGATCACAGATTACCTGACAGGAAGGCTACAGTTTGTCAGGCTGGGGAACTGTGTTTCCTGTTCACACTGTACACGTCAGACTTCAAATACATTACTGAGTCCTGCCACATCCAGAAATACTCAGATGACACTGTGGCATGTATCTATGTGTATATGTATCTATTGTGGCATGTGTCAGAAATGAACAAGAAGCTGAATACAGAGATATGCTAAAAGCCTTCAGTCACAAAAACTGCCTCCTCCTTAACACCTCAAAGACAAAGGAGATGGTCATAGACTTCCGTAGATCCAAACCCTCTCTTCAGCCAGTGAACACCTGTGGAGTGGACATCGAAGTGGTGACATCATATAAATACCTAGGTGTACATCTGGATAATAAGTTGGATTGGTCTAAGAATATAGACTACATCTACAGAAAGGGGCAGAGCCGCCTCTTTTGCCTGAGAAGACTCTGATCAATAGACATCTGTAGTAAGACGCTGCAGATGTTTTATCAGTCTGTGGTGGCAAGTGTTCTGTTCTACGCTGAAGTCTGCTGGGGGTGAAGCATCAAACACAAAGATGCAAGACGTCTTAACAAACTGGTGAAAAAGGCTGGCTCTGTGGTAGGACTCAAGCTGGACTCAGTGGAGGATGTGGTGGAGAGATCTACACTGAGGAAGGTGGAGACTATTCTCAAGAGCATGAATCACCCACTACACAACACCTTGATGGACCAAAGGGTCAATGGTGGTGGAAGGCTCCTCTCTCTTCGCTGCAGGACAGAGAGATTCAGAAGGTCTTTTGTACCAACAGCCATCAGGCTTTATAATTTTTATGTAAATAATAGGTAACTTTTATAGACATACTATATGAGACAACAGACAATTGAATTTCCCTTTGGGGATCAATAAAGTTCTTCTTCTTCTTCTTCTTCTTCTTCTTCTTCTTCTTCTTAAGTAGCTAATCACTTTTAGTGGCCAATTAGAATCCAGTCAGGTGCGAGTGCCACCCCAGGTCACCCTTGCAGACATACAAATAAGAGTTGACCTTTTAGCCTTCTCATGGGTGACTGGTTTGAATGTACTGTGAAGCATGTCTGTGCAGAAACACACACACACACACACACACACACACACACACACACACACACACACACACACACACACACACTCTTCCACTTCAGGTGGTTATGTCAGTGTTATTACCCCCAAAAATCAAAATCAAACACTGCTGTTCAACAGAACCTGGTACAAAGTGTGTGTGTGTGTGTGCGGCGTGTGCATGTGTATGTGTGCGCTAACACGATACTCCTGATGTGAGGTCAGTCAATATGGCCTACACATGGGGTCAGACTGAAACATTTTGTTCCTCAAGTGTGAAGATGATTTATGCTGGACTAGTTGAGGTATCCATGGAATTTTGTGTGTTTGTGTGTGTGTGTGTGTGTGTGTGTGTGTGTGTGTGTGTGTGTGGTCCTCTTCCATCATTTTCAACCACCAGCAGATGTCTGGTTGACCACCATGGGGGTAGTAGATGCTATTTCCATTTGTGTATGTGTGTGTGTGTGTGCGTGTGTGTGTGTGTGTGTGCGTGTGTGTGTTTGTGTGTGACCACTACAAGGGTGGCAGAGGTTACTATAACTGGAGGCTTCGCAGATAAAACAACATGGCCAATGGAGACCACCACAGACCTCGCCAACGTGCTGACTCTTTCCACACACACACCCACTCTTACACACATACGCACACATAGACTTTGTGTGCAGACCCTGTGGCACCATGGGTAATTTTACTGTTTAAAAAAATTGGTTCCCTTCTTTTTTAAAGAAGTCCTCTCTGAGTTTCACTCCTTGAAGGCTGAGGATGGGCTGTGGAGAAGATGACAATATATTTCCTTACACATACACTCACAATTGACACTCTACAAACACAGCTTGAACTGATCATTACAAAAATACTCCCATGTTTGCCGCTTCCAGGAAAAAAAGAATAGTTTATGATATAAAATGCATCAAGCGGTAATAATCAAAGGAGAAATGACACAAAATAAATATGAATTCCATGAAACACTCAGTTAAACAAGGTAGAGGGAAGAGGACAGCGTTTCCACTTTTACGCTCTGTTTTTCAGCCAGTTGAGCTTACGCCCTTTACCACAGAATGAAACCTTTCTTCCTCGCTTGTTCAGGTGAAAGTCCGCACTAACACACTATTCCTGGCATCCTGGATTAAAGGGTTTCCACTGGAGAGTGGCCATTATGGTGAACCAGACAGTGACCTCTGGGAATGAGCAACACGAGAGGAGAGAGGTGAAGGTGTTTTCGTTTTGTTGCTTTGTTTGAATAGGGAAAGATTCAAGGTCCTTACACACAGGCGAATTTGCGGAGCGAAGCGAAAAAGCGAGACGAAAATGCGAAAATATTCACCAGTCCGAAAAATCGCTTTCGCCTAGACACACTGGGCGTGAAGCAAATATGCGTATAGCAGAGTTTTACCCCCCAAAATTCCGCCAGTATTTTAGAATGTCCCTCGGGCAATTTAACGACCTCCTCCAGCAGCTGACCCCACGGCTGGAGAAGCAGACAACTAACTACAGAGAGCCAATTGGTCCAGAGGAGCGGCTAGTCACATGTCTGAGGTTAGATTAAAATAATAGGCAATATTCTATATGAATGAGACAAAGTCCCGTTTTCTTGAAAGCTCCGGGCCCCCAGCCCTGTTATAATGTATATAAGCACATAATAGCTCATCTGTAGCTCACTCGTCTCCACGAGGAGCTGGATGAGTTTGCAATAGCGTGCTTGATAAATGAATATCATCAACAACATGACTTTTGATTGGCCAGAGGTCTAGCAGGTCCAGATATTCGCCTGCGAATCTCCGAAAAATTCAACACAAGAGCAAAAAAAATAAAAGACGCTTTTCGCCCCGTGGAAAAATCGCCGCCGGCGTGGAAGCTTGCATTGACTTTATGCTGTTTTAAAAAAGGTGTGTGTAAGGACCTTCAGGGTAACACTCATGAAATCATGTCAGTGGGTTGTAAATCAAGAGGGTTTGATTGTCATATAAAGTTTGGCAACAACAATCAGTTGATCTCTATTATGTTGATGTGTTGAATATTGAATTCTGATTGGTTAATACCCCACTGCAGCTATGTGCTATTTCTTGACTGCAAATAATAGCCAAGGACAACCTGATCCCACTGGTTATATCCGATCAGATCAATCAGTTCAAAAGACTCCAGCACATTTTACCTTTGTTTGTTGACCATGTGACAAAAACATTGAGTATGAAAAACTCTACAGTCAGAAATTTTGTATTTTAACTCAATGTCTTGACTTCAAACTTCAAATATACTGTATACGTCAGACTACAGTCACAGCACTGAGTCCTGCCACATCCAGAAATTCTCAGATGACACAGCTATATCGTGGCATGTATCAGAAATGAACAAGAAGCTGAATACAGAGATCTGATAAGAGCCTTCAGTGACTGGAGTCACAAAAACTGCCTCCTTCTCAACACCTCAAAGACAAAGGAGATGGTCATAGACTTCTGTAGATCCAAACCCCTTCTTCAGCCAGTGAACACCTGTGGAGTGGACATTGAAGTGGTGACATCATATAAATACCTAAGTGTACATCTGGATAAGTAAGTGGTGGAGAGATCTACACTGAGGAAGGTGGGGACTATTCTAAAGAACATGGATCACCCACTTCACAACACCTTGATGGACCAAAGGGCAAATGGTGGTGGACGGCTGCAAGACAGAAAAATTCAGAAGAGCTTTTGTACCCACAGCTATCAGACTGTTTAATTCTTCTGTAAATAGTAGATGACTTTTAGAGACATGACAAATGAAATGACAGACAATTGAATTTCCCTTCAGTGATAAATACAGTAGTTGTCCATGTTGTTATTCTTAAAAACAAAACAAACAAAAAAACAACAACAACAAAAAAAAAAAAATAGAAAAACAGAATTAGACTTCAAACCCAGAATTACGAGTTTAGATTCAAAATTCTGACTTAAAACTTAAATAAATAAATAAATACTGCATAATAGCTGAATTATCATTAAACAATTATACAGTTTATGCAGTTTAAAGTCAGATCCGTGACTCTGTGATTTTTCAGTTTTAATTCCATTTGTTTTCAAATCAGGTGACATAATAATCAAAGATATACTAACAGTAGCAACAGAGTTGTGTAATTTTGAGAATTTTGAGGATTAAATGACCACCAACATGCTTTTTGGAGACATGAGGTGTTTCTGTCCTTATTTAATTTGAATATACTGTGAGTGAGTCAGCAGACAGCTGCTAATGGAGCCTCAAGTTTCTTAGTCAAAAACAAAGTACAAACTTCAGACACTGCTCTGATTTAACATGCAGAACAACAAAAGGAGCACATTCTTCTTTCACGACACAATTAGAGAACAAAAGTCTTTTTTTTTCAGCCGGTCTTTTTAATCAAAAACAAAGAGAGAAAACTTGAAAGCATGAGGATTTACTCATCTTTAAATGGAATTGTGATAAAACACTTTAAGAGTTGCAGCACCACCCAGTGTTGAGAGAGTAGACTGTTTTGTTTAACTTAATGCTCTAGACTACATACAGTACTGTCATATACTATTCATTTCTTTGGTCAGTTTTTGAGTTTTGAAATGTGAGAGCAGATTTCATCCTGTCCCAAATATAAACTAGAAAAATTGCATTTCCTTGCACAAAATGCATGGAAATGCTGAGTGCTGAAAAAGCAATGCTAAACTGCTAATAAAAAAATGGAGGAAGGTATGAATGTAAAAGCTGTAAAAGGGGTAAAGAAGAAATAAAAGTTGGATAATTGTGAAAATGGTTGAAGGACAAATAATATGAATATGCTCCATAAATTGAAATTTTATTCATGCTGAAAGAGGCTGAAAAATTTCTGAAATAGCACAAAGTTTAATTGAAGAAGTTAATCACCTTAAAAGGCAGGGAGGTGAGAAGTGGCATAAGTTTAAGTTGTAGTTCTAGTAGTAGTATGGTAAGTAGTCATAGTAGTGATATTAGTATTCATGTAAGCAGTAGAAGTAGTTTGAGAATGGAAGAAGTAGAAGTCAAAGTATTAGAGCTAGTAGTAGAAGTAGTAGTAGTAGCAGTAGAGAAAGTAGAAAAAGTAGCAAAAGTAGTTGTAGTAGAAGTTAAAATATAAGTTTAATTGATATTAGCAGTAGTAGTAGAAGTGGGATTTTGTTTGAGGGATTGAATAATGCATGAATATTAAAACTATTTTAAAACAGGGAAGTTTTAAATAATTAAAAATCCTCAAGTATTAGAAAGTTTTGAAGTATCACAAAGGTTTAAATCAGTTTGAATGAGTTTTAATTTGTTTGAAGAAATAAAATAATGCATTATCACTGAGTGATTTAAAAATGGTTTAAAATGCTTAATCAGCATTTCCACTTAAAAAACAACAACAAACATTTATCAACTCCAGCTTGTTGCAAGATGTTCAACTCTTATTGGAACATTGCTGTGTTTACATCTTGGCTGGATTGGGACCAGACTGGGCATGCTTCTTCCAGTAAGTGCTGACTCTTCAGCGCAGAGGGAGCTGAGTCACAGACCAGATGGAGGCTGTAAGAGCACAGATCTGTAATGAGTGGAAACCTGGCTGCACCATAAACCTCTCACACAAACACTGAGCCAAGACCTGCACTTAAAGAGATATTAGTGTATTTTTCATTTTCTAGCTTTAATTTAAAGTGCGTGGAGTGTGTTATATAATGGCTGAGTGTGTTTAGAACATACTGCTGTATGCTCGCAGTTTATTTTGGGACATTCTGTACATTTTCTTTAAAGCTTGGTTTAGCATGTTAATTTACAGTAATAAATGTGAATATTACTGCAGTTTAAGCTGTGGAGCAGCCATTATTGTGGCTGAACGCTTAAATCTTAAACCCTGCGCAGAAACTTGCTCCTTTTTTCAATTCTGGCTGAAAATTCGGAGTCTTGCAAAGTTTGTCTGTTTGCCAAACACCTGATTTTAGTGAAACAACTTTTCACTCACTGCTTTACTTCTGCAGTTTTACAAAGTAAGACTATTGTAAAGACGTTGATCACCCACTTCATAACACCTTAATGGACCAAAGGGTTGGTGGTGGACGGCTCCTCTCTCTTTGCTGCAAGCCAGAAAGATTCAGAGGATCTTTTGTACCCACAGCCATCAGACTTTACTACACTTCTTTAAATAGTAGATGACTTTTTGAGACATGACGACTGAGAATACAGACAATTGAATTTTCCTTTGGGGATCAATAAAGTTATTCTTATTTTTATTATTCTTATTCTGACATTTTGGAAAGAAGTGCAGATGAGCAGGACATTTTTTAACCTTTAGACTAATAAAACAGCTGAATCATGCTAAAAAACAATAACTAACACTGGACTGGACTGAACTGGGTTTTAAACTTAGGTTATTTAGATAAAATAATGAAAAACATCCCCTCATTTTTGGTTTATCTTTGACTGATGTAAAATATCCTGCTTCAAACATGCAAAAATGCATGTTGCAACTTCCTTGGGTTCTCATTGATTGTTGCGCAGCAGATGTTCAGCCTGCAGAAACAAGACAGAAGACATAAATATATGTATCGCTCATTTATAATAAAGGTATCTAAATTGACTGTAGAAGCTCTACTGTGGAAATACCAAAAAGTCAACAGGATCCTCTGGTTTGACTTTGCTGCACTCAAGCATGGCTTCAGTGAGCGAGGGCATCACATACTTCATCAGATAGTTCCTCAGAGGAAGACAGTGAGCCTCCAGCAGCTCCTGCTCCTGTTTCTCCACCTCACGCAGATTCTTGTGCTGTTATAATATACAAATTATTACATATTTCAGTATTCAGTACACATCCTTTTGACTCAAACAGGCCTGGTACTTCTCTTACCCACTCCTCATACTGAATTGCCATCTCAGCTAGAGCAGCTTCATTCCTGCGTTTTTTCTCAGCAGCCTCTGCAGCAGCTTTCTGCCTCCTCTCTCCCTCTTTCTTCCTTTCCTCCCTCTCGAGCTCCTCTGGACTCATGCCGTAGTTCTTGGGAGCCCCTACTGCCTCAGTGATTCTCTTCAAAAGACCTGTGTACTCTGGATCACCTGAAGTGACCTCTGGAGAAGAATGAATCATACTTAGCAGGAAGAACCATACAGGTGAATGAGTAACTCTCAGCTCAGTATGAGATTATTTACAGCCTAGCAGAGATGACTACTTTCTGTCCTAACTTGCCACATGCTGGTGGAAACTGCTGACTGAAGTATATGTAGTTTAGGTGAGCACCCTCACTGAAAACAAAGGGAAACAGCTGGTCTTGCTGTGACATCTGGTGATTTTTTTTTTTTACCACAATTAACAGACATTTGGATACCAGTCCAAAGTAAAGACATAATGTTTAGAGCTCCCCCTACTGGCTGGCTGTAGTATAGAACATAAAGCCAGCTTTCTCTGTGTCAACAGCAGGGATATGGATCAAAGTATAAAAATCAAAGTGGGCATGGAAAAAAAGTCTCAAACACTGTTCCATTTCTGCATTCTTCAATGATCTGTTTTCTCAACAGCTTTGACCCTGATACAGCCAAAGTGGCTCTGTGAAAATTACCAATGTGCTCAGGAAGAATATCAATCTCATCAAAGTAGTCCAGCAGGGTATCCTCAGCAGTACTGAGCTCTCTGTATTTCTCCAGCCGAGCAGTAAACTCCTCCTGGGTGTAGTGCATTTCCTCTGCCACATTCTGTGGAAGCCCCTGCACTCTACTTGTGAGGAAATCATCTGAGGCGTTCAGTGCAAACACATGCTCTGCAAAACATTAAACAAGAGCAGTGAGGAAGATGCTGCACAGAGGGAGGTACATGTGTTTCTTAGTGTCATTAGTGTTTTCATGCAGCTAAACTGACATCGCTGTTGCTTTTAAGTTAAAGTAAAGGTAACCTGGAGTGATCGTCTTGTTGTACACAGGTGTTTGGTTCATTGAATCCTGGTTCTCTGTGTAATAAAAGTTCCACATTTACATTAGAGTGAACAAAACTTAAAAACATTACACTATCATTGAATCATTGAGTAAAACTCACCAGTGAAAAACAGCCTGGCCTCCTCATAAGTCTTTGGGAAGCCATCAAGAACGAACCCTTGATTCCTGCATGGTTTTGAATATAGCTTTTCTTGCAAAATGTCAAAGACCAGGTGATCAGCCAGGCGACCTAATGGAGTGACACAAACATTCAATGCTTAAACCTTGGTTGTTATGAAAGCTAAATTTAAAACATGCTGAATTTATTGCAGGCTCCACTTGTACCTTTGACAAAACTCAGGATCTTTTTTCTGGACAGGTTTCTCACTTTTCATATTTAACGAGAACCACCGGGAACTTCAAAACTACTTGAGTGCCCCTAATTATGTCTGCATTGTAGCTCTCAAGGTGGAAGACTGTAACTCTATAATGAACCTGTTCCTGCTGTGGCAAAAAAAAATTTCCCCCATGGGGGATCAATAAAGGGATAAAGGGAATATATTCTAACCTGCGTTTGTTTCCATGCTTTTGTTCAACGTTTCCAGTTGTTTCCGTGCAGCGGCTGCCGCCTCCACACTGTCATGTTCAGTGTCAGCTTTATTCACCACCTCTTCCTGAATCAATAAAAAAGAAAATTAGCAACAATTGTGTGGATTTCATGTATCACAGCTGCAGTAAGAGAATCTCAAACATAGAACAGCTCTCAGACAATAACTTCCATTAGAGGGCAGTATGTTCCCTTTAGTTACATAGAGGGGAAAAAAGAAACTCACCAGCTGTGTGATCTTCCCCTTGATGACCTCTTCAATCTTGATGTGGCTGATTTGGTAATAGCTGCAGAGCTTCTCTGCAACAGTGGTCTTTCCTACAGCTGGTGGTCCAACGAGGCAGATTCTGACTGGCTAAAGAAATAAAGAGGAAAAGGCAGTTTTGATCTGGTTTCAAATGAGCTCATACACCATACTATAACAATATTTGTGTCAAAATCTAACTTAACACTTACATGTAGCTGCCTGCTGTCTTTGTACTCCTTCACAATGCTTGTCATGTTTTCAATCATCCCACCCTTGGACGTCCAGCATAGAGTAAAGGAGTCTCTGATGATGAAAGCATCCAGGCGAAGGTTGATACTCAGGAAATATAATTCTTGAGGCTAAAATTAGGAAAAATTCAAAAAGTTATTAACACAAAGAGGTTTACATTAAATATATACCGGAAAAAAAACTGAAGGCTATCAAAAATTTTCATTTCATTGACATGCAACATCCTGTAATCCATCTGAAGACAGTCTGAACAGTTCAGCCACTTTTATGTACGAACTACTTAGAAGTCAAAGACTTACATTACATATATTCACTGTAGCTATTATTAAAACTGCCATATTTTAAAACTTACATTTTTATTTTGTTTAAACTTGTCTTGCATTTTTGTGAATAGCTCATTTTAATGATTTTCAGCACTTTGAATTAAGTTGTATCTTGACAGCAAGACTAAATGTCATCTGATTTGTGATAAACAAGGTAGACACAGGCACCTTGCAGGGGTATCAAGAGGTCTGGACCAGCTGTTACTTTAATTCAGAATAACACTAATCTTTAAGTTTTAATCCTTTGGTAGACTTTCTTGGATAAATTAAATACAAATAAAAGTCTCCAAATGAAGCTTTCTCTTGAGCAATAAAGACACTACATTCAGGTAAAAGAGAAGAATGATACAGGTTACCGTAAAAGCTTTCATGGTGATGGCCTCCTCTTCAGGTAGAATGTTAAATTTCCCTGGACCAAGTGTGTCACTTATCTTCTACAAAGGAAGGAGTGAAATAACAGTCTCAATATATGCTTTTTTTTGGTCATTTGAACATCATACAATTGTGTTTTACAACTAATTTATATTGACCCTCAAAAAATTAACACTGTTCTCTTGTTCATAAAGCATTTACCTTCACAATTTCCTCTATGGTGTTCTTCGAGTCATCTACAGCAAGAATATACTTTGACTTCAGCTTCGGTTTGACTTCAATGATGTTTTGAATCACTCTGAAAAAGGAACCAAAGTTCAACCTTATTGTAAAAATAACAGAAACTAAGTTAAGTCACAGCTATAAAGATGAAAAATGGTCAAATAAAATCACCCTGCAAGGTCATGTACATGAATCATGGGGATGTAATTAGTTCCCTGTCCAAATAGAGGAACTTTTGGGAATTGCATCAACCAAGACACCTGTTAATTAAGACAAAATACAGATAAATATGCAAAACAATTAGGCATAACAGTAAATCACAGTAAAATCAAGCATCCAATCAATTTAATATTCACCTTGAAAAAGAAGTGAAAAAGGTTCTCTCCATTCCCATACTGAAGACCAGAACCCACAACATAGCCTCTTAGTTTGGACTTTCTCTGTAAGGTTGAAAAATGGGGACATGCTAATACGCACTTTTCTTCTCCATGAATTGAACTTTTTATCCACATCATGTACTTACACCTCCCGCCAGTTTGAGCACAAGCTTTTCTAAATTATGGTGGTTTCTGAAACTGGGATGTGGCCTCCTTCTTATGTACTCCTCCTCTGTGTGCAGGACATCAGTTTCATCCTAAAAAGAGAAGTTCAATTCATACTGCTTGCATTTGGTACTGCCGTGATTACAATTTATGAGGGGTATACCGGATTCTGTGACTTGGTCAGGGCCCACGTCATCACAGTGGAGACTAAAATGAATATTTTCTGAGTGCTGAAGTTCTCCATCTCAGCTTGAAGGGCTGTTTGAGGAATAGTTAGAAAGTTTGAGTTCACAGAGAAAAAGAACAAGGATTAAGTTAAAGCTTAAAACGCCTTCTTACTTCCATACCTGTGAGAGCCCATGTTGCTTCTTCAATCTGCTGCTGTGAATTCGTTTCTGAAATGTTGTACACCAGGACATCACACTCCAGCAGGCACTGGAGAAGTTCAGCCTGAGTCGGTGACTACCAGAGGAGATCACACAACGAATCACAACCAGAGTGCATTATTTAGATACAAAATATTTATGTTAAACTGATTTTTCTTCTTTAGTTTGCCGAATCAACAGTTAAAACTTAAACTACTTGGAACAAATGGCAAATCCTCATACTTGGAACTATGGTATGCACAGTATTTTGTGTGTTACTGCTTTTTATGTAAAGTAGCCTACCTTAAGCTGTAATGGAGTAAAATGTACAATATATCCCTCTGAATTGCAGCATTGGACACATATTCAAATTATACCACTTATCTACTGTACTCACAGCGTGTTGTTTAAGCAGAAAGCTTTGTTTTTCTTCTCTGGTTGAGGCAGACACGGTTCCTACTATATTAAAAGCAGGTTCATTTCGAGGGGAGTCTGTTTCTCCTGCCTCTGCTTCTTCAGCGCTCTGTCCTGCTACACACGTCGATAAAAACTGGAAGAACCACCAAAAAACCCTGTTAACTTTGAAACAGGAACCCCCTGTTTCACTGTCAGAGGCCACTCATTAAGCTAGCGTTACCTTAGCGATGTGTTTGGAGGAATACCTGTCGACGTCGTTGATAAAAACACGCTTTGGATGAGTTTGTTGCTGTTTTTTCTCCATAACGAACCTAAAAATTGGTTATCTGATGTATTTCTTTGTAAAAGACTATACTTGTGACTTTTAACTTTCGTGTACCATTCGTTGCTATGGACTCGTCACTTGTTGCTATGGACTCCTAGACCGATTCGTGCAAGGGGTTTAACTTCCGAAGCATTCAGCGTGTGACGCACGCATTCCCACCCGTTCACACGCTCACACGCCACACATTGTATTTCTCACGCATTTAAGTGAACATGGTGATGTCCACCAAGTTGCACCTCTTTAACTATGGAACAGGTGGAAATCAACTGAGTTTCTCCGAGAGTTCAGAAGCTGCGTGCCACGCGCAAGCCAATCAAATAAACTATATATACTGAACAGCCAATCAAAAAGCAGCATTGCTGTATCCGGGTAGATTTTGATATCTTGCGGATTGACTACAGGAGAAGACAGATACTCGCCGAAATAGAGCAGGTTTTTATAAGGACGAGAAAGACCCGATGATTACAGTAAGTCAGTAACCTACACATGCAGAGACCTCAACACCTCATGGCATATAAACTCATATGATAAACTAAAGCCCCATGCTATTGCTGTTAACAGCTGTATTGATGAATTTAGCCTCTGTACAGCCATTTCCAGCCATTTTCCCCTCCACAAAAGCAGCAGTTCTCATATATTCTTTTTAAAGTTCTGATACTCATGACAGTGTAATGCTTATGTAGGCTACCAAAGGAATAAGTATCTCCATGTTTGTGAAACCTATACTAAAGTACAATTCATCTAAATGCTCCACAGTGCTGATTTTAACAACTCTCCTCCACAACACGTAACTTTACGACTTTATTCTTATATATTATTGACTTTATTCTCCTAAATAATAACTTTATTCTCGAAGATTTAAAAACGTTTTTTTTTCTTAATGTGGCCCTCATACTCCGCTGTATTTAGATTATTATACTAATAATTATCTTCAGTCACTCTTCACCCCAAAACATAAATAATTTAAGTATTTAAATATCTGCATTGTTTCTGTCTTCAGACCAGCCGACACTGCACATGGACCTCGGTCCTTGTGCACAGCTCTGACTGGTCCTGTCCCAGGCTGATGCTCAGGAGGGTCGCGGCAACACCGAGCTCTTTTCTAGCTCCAACCTCTCCTCTAAATTTGGCTGAAGTAGAAATATTTTTGTGTTGTTTTGTAATGCGGCATTAGTTAGCCTCCAGCTCCTCTGCAGCTCATCCTCTCCTCCTCCAATAGAACCCTCTGGTATTAGTTTAAGATGTTGACTGTTTGGTTTGGATTCTTAATGACCACCATGACCACGACTCATTTTGGATCAAAAGAGCCCAAGTCACGTTATGAATCACATTATTTGGCTCCCTTTATAACTTGCAACTTCATTCACCATTTAGATCATCATTTTTGTTCAAAACCTGTTCAGACTGTTGACTTCCAGATGTTTCTGAGCTCCTCGAGTTCAATGTCCAAAGACTTAAAATCTGTTTTCTACTATTTGAGGATTATCAACATATTTGTCAAAATGCCTTTGCCATTTCGGTTGGATTGTTAATATTTTTCTCCAACTACAGTTTGCAGGTGAGTGTTTTGACAACACAGAGAATATTTTCCTCTTTCTATAGTCCTCTTTCTACTGAAGTGAAGAGGATATTTTTGGCTCACAGCTAATGTGATATTTTTATTTGTTGAAGTTCAAAATTAGATATCTTTATGGCCTTTTTGGTGCGTTATAATAGGCTATGGAAAATAACAATTATCAACTCGTAGAGTTTTTCAAAACAGGGTTACAAAGTGCTTTACAGATGTAGCTACTGCTCTAAAATGTTGATATGATAGGAATATATGGGCTATTTTTAGTAGCCTATATTTTTTTACAAGAAAATCTACTGACCTCAGATGTTGTGAAAAACATATTTAAAGGTATGAAAATTAAATATAAGTAAAAATATTTAGTGGAAATTATAATTAAACACAACGTTTCCAGTTTTTGTTGGATTACCTATGTGACATACTAAGTTATAGTTTTCAATAATTGGGTAGTTCTGTAAAGAAATAACAAAGGTTTTTGATTTAATATGCTTTTTAAACTCTTAAACTAGTTGACAGAAAATAACCTCAACTTTACCTAAAGACATATTTATATTCCTTTGAGATTAAAGTGAATTAAAGTTGATATAAAACTTTTAGATATAACCTACCAGTGTAAGTGTTTTTCTAAAGTAAACAGCATTTTAAATCTCCATGGTAAGCTGTGACGATGTAAAAACTTTAAATCATTACAAGTCGATAAAGATTGGTCACTTCTGAAGATTCAATCTGAAGATCGACACGAAAAACTTCTGTGGCTCACAAACTTTCACCTTTTGACAGCTCCATCGTAAATAAAACCTCCCCAGACGACTAAAGACTCCAACTCCGACAAACACCTCCGACAAACACCTGAACAGAGAGGACAACATCGACGGCATGGAGACCGTAAGATTTCATGACAATATTGTGATGGCCTCCTGGGGCCTGTTCTACGAAGCAAGTTCAACTTAGCGAGGTAGCCTTGGAGCTACCTCGCTCAACTTAGCGCGGTAGCCAGCGGTCTCGCTACACGGTTTTACGACGCTGGTTATCAACCTCATAAGTGGATCCAGCTCTGTTATGAGCGCGTGCACACATATAAGGCGGAGCCCGCCGCATCTGACCAATCGCGAACATGGATCAGTCTGGAGCGTCAGAGCTGGCTGGAGAGTGAAGGACCGCGGACTTAACAAACGAGTAACAGGAGACGATCATGAGAAAGTATGAAGAATTGAAAGCTATCATAAACCTCAAAAGCAACACCGTCGCCGCTACAAAAGCACAGAGGGAATGCTGGCAGAAAAGTAATCTTTGATGCCATTATCACCCTGAAATAGCACTGTTCAACATGCGCTTTTAACTAAGGTGACAGTCCCCGAATTGGATGATCTGTCCCCGGCTAAAGCTGTACCCGAAAATGTCCCTGATTTAAGCGTTTCATGAATGAGAACAAAAATGTTGCATGTGGGCAAGAACAACGGTTATTACAGGAGGTAGGAAGCACAAGTAATCAGTCCTGAACAACAGTATTTACGGGTTATTATAAGGGGCGTGCGCTGCTACTAAATAGTACCGAGATGTTGTCTGTGATCGCGCAGCCCATGCCCATTCATTCCCAAGATGAATCATTCATTTGTTCATTCCTATCGTGTTTACATGTTTTTGTGTAATATGTCGGCCATATGAGCCTTTCATAAAGGTGGTCATCCGGAGAAAACTCTCCCTGAAAACTCTCGCGAGCCGGAGTGCTCCGCCTCGGACAATGCGAGCACCGAGGTCTACAGGATCCTCCAAGAACGGACACGCCGTTTTTCGAGAGAGCTCATTGGTCAGTGGGCGGGGTTTTTATACTCGGTGAGTTCAATCTGGAACTTAACCTGCCCCGGAGCAGTTTAGCCGTTCAGCGTATGTTGCTATGGAGACTCGCCTCGCTAAGAGGTGAGCCCGCGTCGTAGAACAGGAAACCCCGAACTTATCCTCAAAGTTACCTCGCTAAGCAGTAATCCTGCTTCGTAGAACAGGCCCCTGGTCTCCCCTGTGATGGCCTCTAGAGGTCATCCTGCTGCCTAGTCTTTCCTGGCCCTGTCTGCAAGAGTTGGAGGAGCTCATTAGGGAGATGACTGACACCTGGCTGGGTGTGGCAGTAGGCTTAATTGCTTAGCCAGGTCAGTCAGTCTCTCTCTGATCTCCATGCTGGGGCCTGTTCTACGAAGCAGGTTCAACTTAGCGAGGTAGGCTTGGCGCTACCTCGCTCAACTTAGCGCGGTAGCCAGCGGTCTCGCTACACGGTTTTACGACGCTGGTTATCAACCTCATAAGTGGATCCAGCTCTGCTATGAGCGCGTGCACACATATAAGGCGGAGCCTGCCGCATCTGACCAATCACGAACATCGATCAGTCTGGAGCGTCAGAGCAGGCTGGAGAGTGAAGGACTGCGGACTTTACAAACGAGGAACAGGACACGATCATGAGAAAGTACGACGAATTGAAAGCTATCATAAACCTCAAAAGCAAAACCGTCGCCGCTGCAAAAGCACAGAGGGAATGCTGGCAGAAAAGTAATCTTTGATGCCATTATCACCCTGAAATAGCACTGTTCAACATGCGCTTTTAACTAAGGTGACAGTCCCCGAATTGGATGATCTGTCCCCGGCTAAAGCTGTCCGCGAAAACGTTCCTGATTTAAGCGTTTCATGAATGAGAACAAAAATGTTGCATGTGGGCAAGAACAACGGTTATTACAGTGGGTAGGAAGCACAAGTAAGCAGTCCTGAACAACAGTATTTACCGGGTTATTATAAGGGGCGTGCGCTGCTACTAAATAGTACCGAGATGTTGTCTGTGATCGCGCAGCCCATGTCCATTAATTCCCAAGATGAATCATTCATTTGTTCATTCCTATCGTGTTTACATGTTTTTGTGTAATATGTCGGCCATATAAGCCTTTCATAAAGGTGGTCATCCGGAGAAAACTCTCCCTGAAAACTCTCGCGAGCCGGAGTGCTCCTCGGACAATGCGAGCACCAAGGTCTACAGGATCCTCCAAGAACGGACAAGCCGTTTTTCGAGAGAGCTCATTGGTCAGTGGGCGGGGTTTTTATACTCGGTGAGTTCAATCTGAAACCTAACCTGCCCCGGAGCAGTTTAGCCGTTCAGCGTATGTTGCTATGGAGACTCGCCTCGCTAAGAGGTGAACCCGCGTCGTAGAACAGGAAACCCCGAACTTATCCTCAAAGTTACCTCGCTAAGCAGTAATCCTGCTTCGTAGAACAGGCCCCAGGACAGACCTCTGTCATCAGGTCCCTAGTTATTTGGCTTTTTGAGCCACTGGGCAGTGGGAGAACTTTTGTTTTTGGGTAGTTGGTTGTTTTGGAGTTTGTACATGTTCTTATACACACACACACACACACACACACACACACACACACACACACACACACACACACACACACACACACACACACACACACACACACACACACACCACCATATATACCTGCATACACGCAGCCACACACTACAACCAGTGTCTTTTTTTTGAGTTTCAGTAATAAATTAGTTTCTTAAAACGATTCCATGTGTGATGTCTTCACCTTTGTTATGTTCCCTGAACCAGGAGCGTGACAAGATGGGGGCTCGTCCGATCTAATAGCAGTTGTTTGACTTTGCTATTGGACTTTGGTGGAGAGTTACACATGGCATTGGTCTGTTAGTTAAAGTAGTGGTTAGAATCAGATTCATCTGGTTTTTAGGGTTGGAGGGAAACTGATTAATGTAATGTTAATTGTTGTGACAATGTTTTCACTGGTGTTCTCCTCTGTTAGGTGTAGCAGCAGTCGCTAATAGAGGGTCTGCTGCAGTTTTTTTTTGTGCCTTTACTGTTTTGGGTGGTATCCTGGGAGGGCTGCTGGCGAACTCAGCAATGCCACTGAAGACTAGGGTTGAGATTATCTAGTTTTCTGGGGTCCGTTTCACGTAGGTAGTTCAACAAACTCTGAGTTAAATCCTTAACTCTGAGTTGATCTACTCTGAGTTAGGAAACTCTGAGTTTCCGGTTTCACAACACCTGATTTGAGACGGTTTTAACAACTCCGAGTAGTTTGACCTGGAGTTAAGCACGTGCACGCCAGACATAAACAGCCAGCATCTGTGGAGCGCAGATTCAATGATCGACCAATGGAAACAGGGAGAAGGAGGGGGCAGCAGCAAGCCAACAGCGAATTACAGCACGTTTTTAAAGAAAGTGCAATACAGCAGCAGCTGCAAAGGAGAGGGAGAGGGCTTGGGAGGAAATCGCTGCTCGCGTCAATGCGTAACTTTAAATCTAGTCTTGTGCAATCACAATGACAGACTGTTGCAGGGAAAGTGCTTGAATCATTTTGATCATGTTTTACATTGTCAAGTAAGTATTAAGTGGCAGTTTGATCCCTTAGAAAATGCTCTTTTCACACTCAAAAATGAATTTTACTCTCTTATGATGTTCCGTTAAATGATTAGGAATATTAAACTAACTTTCAGTATGTATATGTACATATATTAAACTAACACACACTACACTCAATATTAGACTTTAACTCAGCAAACAGAAAGAGGGCAGATGCCAGAAAAACGGGTGGTGGTCAAGCAGCCCCACCTTTAACGGAGGCAGAGGAGCTGCCCCCCCCCCCCCCCGACCGCGAGGTTGAGTTACCTCTCTTTGTGAAACAGATTAGAGTTACCCCTCTCTCCCTGGTTTAACTAACCCTCCTTTGTGAAACGGAAAACTCAGAGTTTCCCTGATTTCAGGGTTAACAGACTCGGAGTTTCCACTAAACCTGCTACGTGAAACGGACCCCTGGTTAGGCCGTTAGTGAGGGGAACCCAGTGTTGGGACGCTGTTAATATTGTTTAGTTTACCTCCATTAGGCTATCTAGTTTACTAGATTTGGTTTAGTTATGGCTGACATTGTAGAAGATTTTGTTACCTCTCCTGCTCATGGATTATTGGAACAATGTACCAAGGAACAGTTACTGAGGATAGCACAACACTACACTGTGGTCGTGGATGCCAGGCGCACAAAGGAGACCATCCGGAGTATTATAAGAGCAAACCTGCAAGAAGAAGGAGTCCTGACTGACGTCGATGGTAAGAGTGAGGTAAATACTACAGTGCCAAGGTTGACATTCGAACAGCAGAAGGAGTTGTTGATGTTGAATTTGGAACATGAGAAAGATTTGGAAAAAATGAAATATAAGATGGAACAACTGAAATTGGAAGTGGAACATAAAAAATTGGGTCTAATTGGAGAAGGGAAATTACATGCTGGTACTGTGGGTGAGGATGTTACTGCTGCTGGTTTTGATGTGGTTAAAAATTTGAGGTTAATGCAAAAATTTGATGAAAAGGATGTAGAAACATTTTTTTCAATGTTTGAACGGGTGGCTGATGCTAGGGATTGGCCTGATGATGAACGTACATAAATGTTGCAGTGTGTCCTTACAGGCAAAGCACAGGAGGTGTACTCCTCCATGTCAGTGGGGGATTGCAGGATCTACACAAAGGTAAAAGCAGCAGTCTTGAAAGCTTATGAGCTGGTGGCTGATGCGTACCGCCAAAAGTTCAGAGGCTGGAGAAAGACTGGAAAACAAACGCATGTGGAGTTTGCAAGAGATTTGGTTTCACATTTTAATCGCTGGTGTAAGTCAGCTGAGGTAGAAACCTTTCCAAAGTTGTGTGATTTAATTGTACCGGAGCAATTTAAACAGGCTATGCCAGACTGCATTTCAACATATATTACGGAACGCAAAGCTACAACTCCAAGTGAAGCAGCAGTCTTGGCTGATGAGTATGTGTTAACTCACAAACGTATCTTTGGAGAACACAACAGGGAGAAATCCCAGGTTATTGGTGAAAGATCTTTGACTAATGTTTTTCCGAGGTTTGAGCCACAACATCAAGGTAAAGGTGGGCCAGAGGTATGTCATTATTGTCACCAAAGGGGTCACTAAAAGAAAGAATGTCCTGTGTTAAAGGTGAGAGGTAAGACTGTCCATGTTAAGTCAGCTGGGTTGGTGGCATCAGTACACAAATCTGTTACTCCAGCTACAGAGTTGGTGGCACCTTTTCAAATGAAAATGAAATCAATGCATGACTCTGATGTTGATTCTGGGTATTGTAGTTTTCTGTCTGAGGGTTTTGTAAGGCTAAGTGGGAGTGATGGAGAAATCCCAGTTAAAGTGTTGAGGGATTCAGGATCTATGCACACATATGTGAGACAGGCGGTTTTGCCTTTTTCTCCACAATCAGACACAGGTGGTTGTGTGCCAGTTAGAGGTGTGGCTCTCCAAACACTTTTTGTTCCAGTGCATAAGATGTTCTTGTCATGTGGTTTCTTCCAGAAGGACGTGGAGGTGGCTGTTCGGGCAGAACTGCCAGTGAGGGGCGTTGACATAATCCTGGGAAACGATCTGGTACCTGACGGGCGTATGTGGCCGGATGATGTAAGGCCTGTATTTACACAAACATCCCAAGAGTCAGTTCAAGTCAAGTGGCCACATGTGACATGTCTATCCTCTCCAGCTACTCCAAAGGGTGTTGATGCGCCTCAGGTGTCACAGAAAAATGAACAGCTAGATTTGTCATGTGGTTCCTCTCTAAAGCCTGTAAAGGACGCTGCACAAGATCAAGCAGTGGCTCCAGTCTGTGCTCCACAGTCACAGCAGGTAAAATTGTCTACAGTTTGTGCTGTGACTCGAGCTATGACTGCCATGACTGACAGTGGGGTAAATGTGGACAATTCTGAGGTCACAAAGTTTTCCTTAGCTATGCCAAATGATCTTTGTGTTCCCCGTTCTGAGCTGGTGGAAGAACAGAAAAAGGACCAGTCTCTGAAGGTTCTGTATGGCTTGGTGTTGCCTTCCTCTGAGGTGGGAAAACTTAGGCAGGGATATGTGCTCCAGGATGACATCCTGCTTAGATTTTGGGCTCCTTATGGAGATGGATTTAGTGGTGACCCCATAGTGCAAGTTGTACTGCCTGAAAAATTCAGAACATCAGTGATTCAAACAGCACATGACAGTGTTGCAGGCCATATGGGTGTAAAAAAGACCTACCACCGTGTGATCCAGAATTTTTTCTGGCCCCGTGTAAAACGTGATGTGGCTAACTATATAAAAACATGTCATACTTGTCAAATTACAAGCAAGCCTAATCAAACGTTAAAACCAGCACCTCTGTATCCAATTCCGGCAGTGAATCAGCCTTTTGAACACCTGATAGTTGATTGTGTGGGACCTCTTTCCCGGTCCAAATCAGGTTGTTCCTATTTGTTGACTATAATGTGTCAGTCGACTAGATATCTGGCCACCTATCCTCTGCGGTCAATCACTGCAAAGTCTGTGGTAAAGGCTATTAGTCAGTTTATATCAGTGTTTGGAATTCCCAAAATCATACAAACTGATCAAGGCTCTAACTTTACTTCTCGGCTGTTTTCCCAAGTTCTTAAACAACTTCATATAGCTCATAACATGTCTTCAGCATATCATCCACAGAGTCAAGGGGCACTTGAGCGTTTTCATCAACATCTGAAATCATTGCTGCGTGCTTACTGCACTGAGCTAAAGGAAGACTGGCAGGAGGGCTTGCCCTGGCTCTTAATGGTGGCCAGAGAAGTTGTTCAGGAGAGTACCGGCTTCAGCCCTAATGAGCTTGTTTTTGCTCACACTGTTCGAGGCCCCTTGTCTATTATTCGTGATCAGGTTACAGAACAAAACTACCTGATTGAGATGCCAAATAAAAGAAAGCCGGTTAAGGTCTGTCATGTTAATTTACTCAAACCCTATTATGCACGTGGGCTTTCTAATGACAAAACTCAGGGTAATCCAGTGCTAGTGGCCAGTACTGTACAGGAGGAGGAAGAGTGTTCGGGTGATAGGGTGTTACAACCTAGACTTAAAAATTCTGAAACTCTGGCCAACTTGGGTTCACTGATGGGACATTTGGATGCGACTAAGTGCGAACAACTAGGTGAGATTATACACAGATACCCAGGTCTTTTCTCTGACACACCTACATGTACAAATTTAATTGAGCATGATGTTGATGTGGGGGATGCAAAACCCATTACTCAGCGATTCTACAGGGTTAGTCCAGAAAAGCGAAAGGTGCTGGATGCAGAGGTAGAATATATGTTGCAAAATGGTCTTGCTGTACCATCTACCTCTAGTTGGGCTTCTCCCTGTCTCCTTGTCAGTAAGCCAGATGCCACGTTTAGACCATGCACTGACTTCAGAAAAGTTAATTCTGTTACAAAGCCTGATTCCTTCCCTCTTCCAAGGGTGGATGATTGTATTGATCCAGTGGGTTCTGCTAAATATGTCAGTAAATTTGACCTTCTTAAGGGTTACTGGCAGGTGCCTTTTTCTGAAAGAACCAGAGAAATCTGTTCATCTGTGACTCCCTCTGGTTTGTATTCTTATACTGTTATGCCCTTTGGATTGCGAAATGCTCCAGCTACTTTTCAAAGACTAATGAATGTGGTTGTGTGTGGGCTGGAGGGCTGTGCAGTCTATTTGGATGATGTGGTCATATTTAGTGACACATGGGAGGAACATTTGGAGAGAGTGAAAGCTTTGTTTGACAGACTGCTGTGGGCATGTCTGATGGTCAATTTGGCTAAATGTGAATTCGCAAAGGCAACAGTGACCTATCTAGGAAAAGTTGTTGGTCAAGGAGAAGTTCACACCATAAAGGCTAAGGTTGGAGCTATACAAGAATTTCCTATTCCATCCACAAAGCGGGAATTGCTACGTTTGCTGGGTATGTCTGGTTATTACAGAGGGTTTTGTCCTAATTTTGCCTCTGTGGGTGCTCCTTTGACAGACTTGTTGAAAGGGAATGCTAAATATGTTTGGTCTCCCAGCTGTCAACAGGCCTTTAACCAGTTAAAGGAGCTGTTGTCCTCAGCTCCAGTGCTGGCAGCTCCTAGGCTGGACCGGCCCTTTAAGTTGCAGGTGGATGCGAGTGATGTTGGGGCTGGTGCTGTGTTGCTACAGGCAGATGAGAAGGGAGTGGAGAAACCAGTCAGTTTCTTCTCTAAGAAATTCAAGGGGTACCAATGCAATTACTCTGTAATAGAAAAAGAAGCGCTGGCTCTGGTTTTGGCCCTTAAGCATTTTGATGTCTATGTTGGGACAGGTTCACATTTGGTAGTCTATACTGACCACAACCCATTGACTTTTTTACGATCATTGCAAAATCCAAATCAAAGATTGATGCGTTGGGCATTGTTTTTGCAGCCTTATCATCTAGATATCCGCCACATTAAAGGTAGAGATAACATAGTGGCGGATACTTTGTCACGTGCACCTTGGTCTTAAAATATCTTGCTGTTTATTTGTCATCTCTCCATTTTCAGCCTGTTGTCCCAATCTCATGATCACAGACGATCACATCACGAGCCAGGCAGAGAGCAGCATCATGGATATTCGCAACTTTTTCAAAAAAGTAAGTCTTTATAGCTGCTGGTAGTAACAATAAGCTCCAGCTAACAGCAAATAGTCCCATGTAATTTATGAACCAGGTGCTCCCCATTTTGATAAATAAAAACCTGGCTATCACACCAAGTTAAATTGTTAGCATGATGTTGATTTCTGTCACATGTTTTAGCTCTGAAAAAAGCGGGCTGAGCTCATTCACGTATGATTATCATCAGTGGATAATAATAATAATAATAATACACTAATAATACTCACCCTACCATCCCCACTGACTTGTAGGAGTCAGGACAGAGGAGCACAGCATATGAGTGAGGAGACACCTCTACTGGAGAGGTGAGTCTAAAAGAATTCACAGGAGTGATGCAGACAGTCTGATTAGAATTTTATGGAACTCAATATGGATATGAAATACGAAATTTCAGTCATGGTGCAGGTGCACCATATAAGACTTATTTCATTTGAGTTTTTATTTAAGAGAGTCAAGATTAGAAAGTGGAGAGAGCCAAGAGATAAATTAGCCTGACCCAAATATTTTTGGGGGTTCTATTTTAATATTACTTTAATTCAAGTAATTTAGTAATATTTTCCAGGGCTTTAAATTGCAACCATTTTAGTCACATATGGGCCCAAAATGTAATTTGTGTAACATCTTAATATTTGGGAGCAAAAAATTACTGTGGTGTGTGAGCTTAAGTCATGACATTAGCCTCTATGTTGGATTAGTTATTAATTCAATGTGTTTCAATGTATCTTGGAGGGTCAGGCAGAAGGAAAGGCTGAGGAGCTGCAGCAAATGGCAGAGGAAGCTGAGAGAGGAGAGCAAACAGGCCAAGAGAGGGAAAATAATGAAGCAGCTGCAGCAACTTATTCCACTACAGGGTTTGACTTGGGCGACAAAGACACAGGGCCCAGACAGGTCATGCTGAAGAGCTACCCACAAGATAATTTTGGGACAAAGAAGCGAGCATTTCACCACAGCTGGTTTGACAAGCACAACTGGTTAGAATATTCAGTCAACCAGAATACAGCTTTCTGTTTCCCGTGTAGAGTGTTTGGTAAAAACATCAAACATGACAGTTTGGTCAGTAGTGGTTGCAAGAACTGGAAGAAAGCTTTAGTCATCTTTGGTAAGCATGAGATGGCACAAACGCATAAGGACAGTGTTGTTGCATGGAAAAGCTACCAGGCAACCAGTAAACAGGGGAACGTTGCACAGATGATAGCATCAGCAAATGTGAGTGAGATAGTAGAGAGAAGAGAGTATCTCAGGCGAATTGTTGCAGTCACCTCTATGTTAGGGAGATAGGGACTCCCTTTTCGTGGCCATGATGAAGGTGAAGACAGCACAAACAGAGGGAATTTTCTTGCATGCATGGAGCTTTTGAAGGAGTTTGATCCTTTTCTTCAAAAACATAATCCCCCATCAAATGCGCAGTATATTTCGCCAACATCCCAGAATGACATGATTTACTGTTGTGCCCAGGAAGTTACTAATGTCATTGTATCTGAAATGACAAAGTCTAAAATCTATGCCATCATGGCAGATGAGGCAAGGGATGAAAAGTCAGAGCAGTTAGCTGTTTGTGGGGGCAGTGAAGGAGTGTTTACTAGCACTTACAGAGATAAAATCATTTGATGCCCAGTCCATTGCAAATGAGCTTCAGCAGCAGATCCAAAACAATGGTCTTGAAGAGCTTATGTGTGTAACACAAACATATGATGGCGCAGCTGTTATGAGTGGCTCCACTGCAGGTGTACAAGCACATTTTAGAAGGCTCCATCCTGAGGCTATCTATGTGCATTGTTATGCTCATCAACTCAACCTGGTGTTGTGCAATACTTGCAAGGCTGTCCCAGAGGCTGTGGAACTTTTCAGCTTGTTGGAGTGTGTTTATTCTTTCTTCAGCACCTCCCTAGTAAATCATCATAAGTTCATGGAGGCTCAGTCACAGCTTGGATTGACAAAAGTTGAGCTTGTGCAACTTTCAAGCACTCGCTGGGCATGTCAGTTGCGATCAATCAGTGCAGTTCTTCAGACATTGTCTGCCATTTTGGAGTGCCTTTCTGCCATTGGATCCCCCATAGCTGTTGGTCTTAGAGCAAAGCTCTACAAGTTCTCAGCAGTCTATGCACTACTGATGTTTCAGTCACTTCTTTCTGTAACCGAAGGACTCCACAAGCTCCTGCAGAAAGAGACTTTAGACCTGGCAGACGCTTTTATCAGCAAACAAGCTGTGTGTGACACACTTAAGGACAAATGCACAGATGCATTTGCCATGGAGCTGTATGAGAAAACCAAGGCTGTATGCCACACCCACAGTATCCCTGAACCAGGTGCCAAGACAAGGAACAAACAGAGGAAAATGGAGGATTTTGTGTTGGAGGCAACTGCAGGTTCACGCACTAAATTGAACAATTCAGACACATTGAAAAGCAACTTACTTTTCCCTTGTGTGGATAGGATGGTTGGCTAGCTTGAGCAAAGATTTAGCAATGTAGATGCAGGGCTACTAAAAGGCATCCAGGCATGCAGTCCTAAATCTGAGAACTTCTTGAGTGAGACACACTTGAATGAACTTGCAAAGCACTACAGAGTTGACCTGAAAACGGAGGAGGTTCTGGTGGCCAGAAAGTTTCTTGCCCGGAAAACAGAGGCTGGATGTCCACCCAAAGATATGTTGTCTGTGCACAATCTCCTTGATTCAGACATGTTTCCCTCTCTGAAGGCAACTATCCAAGTTGCCCTAACAGTGCCTGTAAGCAGCTGTTCATGTGAAAGATCCTTTAGTGCACTGCGTCAGCTGCACTCCTGGCTGCGTCAAACAATGGGTCAGAAAAGACTTCACAGTCTTGCAGTCATGTCCATTGAAAAAGACACCCTTCAGCATCTGAGTCACAACAGAGTGATTGACCGATTTCCCACCCTTAAAAACAGACGGCATTCTTTGATGCTTCCACCAACAAAGTAACTGGCAATTGCAGTCATGTTAATTAAAAATGATGTACTTGGCTTACTTTGTGACAACACAGTGATTTTTTTTGCATACAGTTTCTCATCCAATCCATGTGGTGGGCCCTTATTGAGTAAGAATTACTGTATTTGTAAAATGCAGTACTGTAACTATATGGGGACAATTTTCTTTTTTTTTTCTTGTTGTTGATGCTGCAAAGAGCAAACACATTTCCTATGTTTTATTGTTGTACTGTATTGAAAAAACAGACTGAAATAAAACAAAAAAACTACTGGTGGCCTGGGACTATATCTTTGTTAAATCCGTCCAAAAAAGCTGAAAAGCAATTTCTCAGTCTTTGTTTTCTGTTTGTGAAATTTTGTGCTCGCTCACTACGTTCATTCAAATCCTGTTCATCTCTTGGGGGCTAAGCCCCCTGTCCTTAAAACCTAGTGACGCCCCTGATCTTCAGATTGAATCTTCAGAAGTGACCGATCTTTATCGACTTGTAATGATTTAAAGTTTTTACATCGTCACAGGTTACCATGGAGATTAAAAATGCTGTTTACTTTAGAAAAACACTTACACTGGTAGGTTATATCTAAAAGTTTAATATCAACTTTAATTCACTTTAATCTCAAAGGAATATAAATATGTCTTTAGGTAAAGTTGAGGTTATTTTCTGTCAACTAGTTTATGAGTTTAAAAAACATATTAAATCAAAAACCTTTGTTATTTCTTTACAGAACTACCCATTTTTGAAAACTATATCTTAGTATGTCTCATAGGTAATCCAACAAAAACTGGAAACTTTGTGTTTAATTATAATCTTAGTCTTAAAACAGGCAACCGGACTGTGTAGATTTGAGAAGACGTTTCGCCTCTTATCCAAGAAGCTTCTTCAGTTCTAAAAATGCTAGTGTGAGGAGCAGATATTTATCTTGCTGGAGAAGGGGGAAGATAACGACTGGGTGGAGTTAAAAAGAATGGGTCGTAGAAACCCATCTCTGGGTGTGCCCCCCCCCCCCAAGTCGTTAACCTGAAAGGGTCGTTAGCGACTCCTGTCATGTGACCACATGACTCATGCCACCTGGGTCATGTGGTTCCAGGTGTGAATGTTTGTGGGGCTTCCTGGGGAGAGAGCTGAGAACTGCATTGTAAGTGCCAGAGAGATTGTGCCTGAGTCCACCCCCTCTGTTCAGAGAAGGTTTCTCCAGCCTGGTAAAGATGGCTTCTTTAACTCCTCTTTCAAACCATCTGTCTTCTCGAGCCAACACCTGTACATCGCTGTCCTCAAAAGAGTGACCCGTATCCTTCAAGTGAAGGTGGACAGCTGAGTCCTGACCTGAGGAAGTGGCTCTCCTGTGTTGAGCCATGCGCTTGTGAAGCGGTTGTTTCGTTTCCCCAATGTACAGGTCCGAGCATTCCTCGCTGCACTGGACCGCGTACACCACATTACTCTGTTTATGTCTCGGTGTTTTGTCCTTGGGACGGACTAGCTTCTGCCTTAGTGTGTTCCCAGGCTTGAAGTGAACAGGAATATGGTGTTTGCCAAAGATCCTCTTGAGTTTTTCCGACAGGCCTGCAACGTAAGGGATTACAGTGCTCTTGCGTCTCTCCTCCGTTTCGTGTTCAGTGTTATTTCTCTTTCTGTTCTTTACAAAGGCCCACTTAGGGTATCCACAGGTTGTCAGGGCATTTTTGATGTGCTTCTGTTCCTTTTCCTTACCTTCTTTCTTCGTGGGAATATTCTTAGCCCGGTGGTTGAGTGTTCTGATGACCCCCAGTTTGTGCTGTAGAGGATGGTGGGAATCAAAAAGTAGATACTGATCCGTGTGTGTTGGTTTCCTGTACACTTCAACGTTGAGACACCCATCTGCCTCCAAGTGTACAGCACAGTCCAAAAAGGCCAACACCTTGTCCTTGACAGCTTCACGGGTGAACTTGATGTTTCTGTCCACTGTGTTGATATGGTCAGTGAAGGCCTCTACTTCATGTGTTTTAATCTTAACCCAGGTGTCATCCACATATCTGAACCAGTGGCTAGGTGCTGCTCCTTTGAAGGAGGTAAGGGCCTTCCTCTCTACCTCTTCCACATACAGGTTTGCCACTATTGGAGAAACCGGGGAGCCCATAGCGCATCCGTGTTTCTGTCTGTAATGGCGCTCTCTGAACTGGAAATAGGTGGTGCTGAGGCAGATGTCCAATAAGATGTCCAATAAGGAGCAGATGTGGTCAGGGGTTAAGTTGTAGATTCTCATGGGCAAATATGCCCATGAGAATCTACATGGACATATTTGTGTTTAATTATAAGTTCCACTAAATATTTTTACTTATATTTAATTTTCATACCTTTAAATATGTTTTTCACAACATCTGAGGTCAGTAGATTTTCTTGTAAAAAAATATAGGCTACTAAAAATAGCCCATATATTCCTATCATAACAACATTTTAGAGCAGTAGCTACATCTGTAAAGCACTTTGTAACCCTGTTTTGAAAAACTCTACAAGTTGATAATTGTTATTTTCCGTAGCCTATTATAACGCACCAAAAAGGACATAAAGATATCTAATTTTGAACTTCAACAAATAAAAATATCACATTAGCTGTGAGCCAAAATATCCTCTTCACTTCCGTAGAAAGAGGACTATAGAAAGAGGAAAATATTCTCTGTGTTGTCAAAACACTCATCTGCAAACTGTAGTTGGAGAAAAATATTAACAATCCAACCGAAATGGCAAAGGCATTTTGACAAATATGTTGATAATCCTCAAATAGTAGAAAACAGATTTTAAGTCTTTGGACATTGAACTCGAGGAGCTCAGAAACATCTGGAAGTCAACAGTCTGAACAGGTTTTGAACAAAAATGATGATCTAAATGGTGAATGAAGTCGAAAGTTATTAAGGGAGCCAAATAATGTGATTCATAACGTGACTTGGGCTCGTTTGATCCAAAATGAGTCGTGGTCATGGTGGTCATTAAGAATCCAAACCAAACAGTCAACATCTTAAACTAATACTAGAGGGTTCTATTGGAGGAGGAGAGGATGAGCTGCAGAGGAGCTGGAGGCTAACTAATGCCGCATTACAAAACAACACAAAAATATTTCTACTTCAGCCAAATTTAGAGGAGAGGTTGGAGCTAGAAAAGAGCTCGGTATTGCCGCGACCCTCCTGAGCATCAGCCTGGGACAGGACCAGTCTGAGCTGTGCACAAGAACCGAGGTCCATGACCACAGTGGTCAGTGGTGGGCAGGACTTAAGCTTCATCATTCAATGCGTTGCTTTTAAACTAACTATTCCCAAAGTCTCGATGATAACACAAGTTTGTATGATAATATTGTCATGAAATCTTACGGTCTCCATGTCGTCGATGTTGTCCTCTCTGTTCAGGTGTTTGTCGGAGTTGGAGTCTTTAGTCGTCTGGGGAGGTTTTATTTACGATGGAGCTGTCAAAAGGTGAAAGTTTGTGAGCCACAGAAGTTTTTCGTGTCGATCTTCAGATTGAATCTTCAGAAGTGACCAATCTTTATCGACTTGTAATGATTTAAAGTTTTTACATCGTCACAGCTTACCATGGAGATTTAAAATGCTGTTTACTGTAGAAAAACACTTACACTGGTAGGTTATATCTAAAAGTTTAATATCAACTTTAATTCACTTTAATCTCAAAGGAATATAAATATGTCTTTAGGTAAAGTTGAGGTTATTTTCTGTCAACTAGTTTAAGAGTTTAAAAAGCATATTAAATCAAAAACCTTTGTTATTTCTTGACAGAACTACCCATTTTTGAAAACTATATCTTCGTATGTCTCATAGGTAATCCAACAAAAACTGGAAACGTTTTCATACCTTTAAATATGTTTTTCACAACATCTGAGGTCAGTAGATTTTCTTGTAAAAAAATATAGGCTACTAAAAATAGCCCATATATTCCTATCATATCAATATTTTAGAGCAGTAGCTACATCTGTAAAGCACTTTGTAACCCTGTTTTGAAAAACTCTACGAGTTGATAATTGTTATTTTCCGTAGCCTATTATAACACACCAAAAAGGACATAAAGATATCTAATTTTGAACTTCAACAAATAAAAATATCACATTAGCTGTGAGCCAAAATATCCTCTTCACTTCCGTAGAAAGAGGACTATAGAAAGAGGAAAATATTCTCTGTGTTGTCAAAACACTCATCTGCAAACTGTAGTTGGAGAAAAATATTAACAATCCAACTGTGACGGCCGCCGCCTTAGTGTGGCAAGTCTTGGGTCTTCCTGTGTGTGTGTGTGTGTGTGTGTGTGTGTGTGTGTGTGTGTGTGTGTGTGTGTGTGTGTGTGTGTGTGTGTGTGTGTGTGTGTGAGTGTGCCTGTGTGTGCATGCTGCCTGCAGCTCCCAGGTTGCCGTGGCTGCGGATTAATTAAGTGCCTGATCACCTCCACCTGGAAACGGCAAGGACCGACTGGCTGAGGGCTTCCACCAATTGGGGGGAGTGGATAAAACGCCAACGGACCTGCAGATCGGGGAGCACGCTGTAACCAGTGGAGCTCCCATGCCTCTTTCTCAGACTGAACGTCTTTGTGATTTGGGACTTTCGTAGCTTGTGAGGCATATTAGTTTTGCACACGCCTACCTGCTTTCTTTTTGTATTCAGCACTAGGGCTGAGTTATTGTATTTTATTTCTTTTCAGTGCCTATGTGAGCAGATCTTTTTATTTAGCTGTGTAACTAACTCTAGGTTAGAGTCTTTCTGTGTTTGGCAACCTGTTAAACCTCCTTTAAGGCCTCTCTTTTTTTTTGTTATTGTCAATTTTACTTTTGTTAATAAATAACTTGATTTGATCATTTAACATCTGGTCGGTTTTATGTTGCTTCCCTTCTCCCGTAACGAGCTGGTCGTAACATAAATGGGGGCTCGTCCGGGATCCTAATCCGTTAAAGGAGACCCGGAAATCCGAAAAGTTTTTGTTAATAAAGGTAAGATTATTGTGTGTGTGCTTAGGTAGGTAAAATGGCATC